CGATAACAATTTCCAAGCTTCAGCATAATTTTGCGCCGACACCTCCAGAGCCCGAATGACCTCAGCTGCATCCCCCTTTAATGCATTCTTCAGATAGTAAAACCTCTGAATATCTGTGAGATTGGGATTAGAATGTATCAATGTATGAAAAGTATCATGAAATTCCAACCATTCCTTATAAGAACCATGAAATGTGGGAATCTCCATAATGGGCAATCTCACATTTTTTTCTACCAAAGCAGTACCACTAGGTGTAGCACCTACAGAACTATTTATTTGTGTAACTGACCCGTTATTTGATAAAATTTCTGTTGCCTTTGCGATTACCTCAAAATATGATTCCTGAAATGAAATTCTCTCTTGTTCCTGATCTATGGCATTTTCAAGATCTAATTCCTCTATTTGTGATTGTAAAATGTCAAATTCGTTCCAACATTCCTTGCATTTTTCAATTCTTCCTGGTATTTGAGATATTTTATCGTTTGTAAATGTTTTGATGAAAGTTTCAAACCTTGTTAATTGCCCCTTGACGACCCCTCTTTTCCGAATTAGTTCATTCATAGCTGATATTTATTTGAAAGAAAAATAAACCAAATGATGACCCTCACCACCGCAAAACTCAGATATATGCCTCGTAGATATCGTCGTCACAGAAGATTGTACTCACTCTGTTCCAATATGCAACTTTCTGACCTGAATATTATGTGTATGCACCCAATGTGCCCCTTGAAGTATAGCTGTGTACTGCGCCCGTCGCTCTCCTTGATGCTGATTTCTGCGCCCAGTGTGCCCAACCGTGAATGTTATTGACCTGCTACTTCGATCCTGCACCACCTCGAAGCTGCCCTTTGACTTCTCCAGATCCAAATACCGCTTAATGTTCTTGAAATGTACCGCCTTTCTTCCCCTTCTTGACTGCTCTAACCGCTACTAGTTCTAACATCCGCTCGAATAGACCAAAATATGTTGGATGACCCAACTGAATTTCTATTTTCTTTATGGTTTTTTAATGAAACTATATACATTTCCCATGTTTTTGTATTTATATTCAAGGAATACAATTTGGTATCAAAACCTGTCACATATATGTCAGTTCTATCTATTTATTAAACAAAACTCTAAAAACAAGAGGTATATGTTACTATACCTAATGGCACCTTTCTAGAAACCGTGGACTGTATATACCATATGATGAAATTAATATGCCAATGAAGTGATGTTAAAAACTGATTGTCCGAACATATATATTTGAGATACGGTTCTTCATAATTTTTTCTGTGAGTTTCATAAACAGAGTGATCCATTTGAAAGCTTGCTGAAAAATCCAGAATCCATATAGGCGATTTCTTTAGAAAAAATCTGCGCACGCCACTGGAATCGGCGTCCTCTGAAATAGATCTGTACCAAATTTCATGAAAAAATATTCAACATTACCAAATCTATGAAATTATAAGTTATTTATCATGCATTAAGAAGCCTTTCATATAGTTACCCATGCGATAACAAATGAATCACGACTTTATTTAATAACAACATATGATAAAGATATTTCGAGAGATATTTTGAATGTGTTCACACATGAATTGATTTGGAATTCTGGATTTTTCAACTTTTCCTTCATTAAACCCCCTGAGAACAAAATCTAGGGGAGTTAAATCGAGAGATCTGGGAAGATACTGCATTAATCTCTGGTCATCTGTGACTTCAATAATTGCAAAGCTCACTATTATGAATATTATGAATTTACAACATAAAAAGCATCTCAATGTATGATAAACAACTTGTCCGTAATTCATATGCAGTCATAGAATAATTAATGTTGAATATTTTTTGGCCCGCTTTAAAATGGGTCACTCTGTATGTTGATAGAAAAACAGTTGAACAGCTAATGAAAAAATTATGGATAACTTATATACATTTTCAAATGGAACCCTATAAATATTATCATTTCATACTTCGCGCGAAATTATTGTCAAACACTTATTCGTTATTTAAATTTCATGACTCTTAATCTTTTCATTCTCATATAATACTTTTTAGCTCAAAGCTCAAGAGCAACTTGATTGATGTTGTCATCAGTTCACTGTTTGGAATTCGATTAGCAAGCATTTGATTGGCTAATGGATTTGAACATTAAGAGTTATGGCACTTGACTGAAATGCCTCTTCCCATCATGATAAAAATTAAGTGCATTATTTTCAAAGCAAAAACTGATAATGAACTCCAATTTAGCGTGAATTAAAAAAACGGACTTTCAAGGTGACACTGTAATGCACATTAACATCAACTGCAATCAGCACACATCGAAAAATCGATAGGTCTCCAAGAGAAAGAGAGAGACATACCATATTCAATGAACGACAGTCATCGCAAACCAATAATTACGAAGTCGCGAAGGTTAGGTAGCATTTTTATTAATTACCGCTCGATGGATATTGCGTGTTGAGAAATCGTGGGTGGCCTGTTGCAGCAGCGCAGCGTAGCAGATACAACAGAGATAAGGGGAAGGGGGTGTAGGAGGTAGGAGGGGTAGGTCGTGAAAACACTCTGTTCGGATAAGATCGTCGCGTTGGTTGCGAGAGGACGACTCAATCGATTCTGACCCCCTCTACCGCCCTGCTGACTGTCCAACGCCTCGCGTGACCTGACAAGAAACTTACGATATAGCACGTGGAGAAGATTTGTGCACGTGTCTGATCTAGAAGCTCTAAGTAAGTGCATCCCACTGACCTTTAAACAACGAATCCAAGGACTATGCTAATTCTCGACTGAGGGATGAAATCTATCCAAACCTCTTTCAATCGATGAATCATAATTCACATTTGATGTACAATCAATATTATGAAGGGAATCGAATCTATAGCGTTTTGAAATCAACATATTCCATTTGATATTTCGAAAATAAAAGATATGAAGGTGGAGTCGGGAAATATAGCTATCTCTCTATCTCTGATACCGTGCCATTCTGCAGTGTTGTAGTGTGATTCGTAAGCTCAAGGCCAATAGGCGTCTTGGGACTAATACGTCACACCAATAAATTGACTCCATTTCAAATGGCGCAGAAAGTATGTGTCTTGAAGTGAACATAAAAAATTCATTGGACAATTCAAATTATACCATATTTCATCGCTGTTACTGCAATATTCTGTAGGAAAAGAAAGGAGATCAGCGGACATACAAACAAACCTAGTCGATCTAACGTTTGAGGGTTTTTAGAGAGTGACACTTGTCCATTACAATGGTTTTTGAATGAAAACAATAAAGGATAATTATTGATTTGTTCATGTACAATATCTAAATGTAATGTAACTAACTACAGAACTTCCAAAAATGATGAACTGAAGTGTGAAGGGTTTTATATACCCACTTTTCTAGCCATACTGTATAATCAATATAGTTTTTGTACGGCTATAACATCAAATTGCTCTTGTTTTACTGTTTCCGATAAATCAATGAGGTACAATGTATATCTTCAATTTCATTCCCTTATCTGATAACACAATGACTTTATTGTGTTATTAAATTTCAAGCAATTTTATAAACTTCATTATCGTGGAAAAGGACTATATTTCCGTATTCGTTAAACGACACACTATTTGGTGCATTTCTGATAAAATCGAATTTTTATTCATAAGTTGAATGAGGTCTTATTTTTTGACAGTTGTAGGAAAAATAATGTATGTAACACGTAAGTAAAGTGTTATTTTTTTCATAATTCCAAATTTTTGGGGATTTTCTCTCCTCGTTTCTATAAAATAAAAATAGGAATATTATTTCAATATACGTGTAGTAAGGACCACTTTACACACTCGTAACATAAATAGCTAGTGTAGATTGGAAGTATAAAGAAAAATTTTCCATTTTGAATACTAGTGAGACGTCGCTGCTTCAGGAAAAATCACCAGAAGTAATTTTTGAAGATTAAAGATATCCGATACGGTTGATGTAAAAATTGTTAACGAGGCGCCGTGATATTTTATGGGCTCGTAAAAAGTACGCAACTTTTCGAAGGTATCCGCAAAAAAGGGAGCCAGATGGCTTAAAAACCGATTCAACTAAATCGTTGACAAAGGTGCTTTAAGACAACATCCATAAAAAAGTTTACTGACTTCCATTTCGGAAGTAATGACCGCCAAAATAATCCAGGAGCAACTTAAAGACCGAGTATAAGACCATCCTGAAATTTGAGACGGTAAGTCTATTTACGTGAAATCTACTGTTATTTTTTTCAGTTTGGTGACTGGAATATAATTTTATCTTTCTATCAAAATACATCAATGGAAGATATAGAGAGTGGAACTGAAAATATGTAAAGTTTTATACCAAAATAGCAAGAAATAATGTTCAACCTGTTACTAGCTATTTTCCTACATATCTTTCTACTTCTTCTAAAAGTGAGCTTAATTTTCTCCTAGAACGTCTCAAGTATCACCTACCTGACGAATTATTGTTTTTTTCTAAGGTGTCCAAACAGAAGCTTCAAAGTCTCAATAGGTGCGCCTCTGGCTAACACCATAAAGATCTCGAGATCAGCGCGGAAAACACCATAAATAAAACCCCTAAAAAATCTCGATATCTAACACCATAAAAATCTTGAGATCAGCTCGGAAAACACTATAAATAAACCCCGTCAAGTCTCAATAGCCAACACCATGAAAAATCTGGTGATCAGGTCGGAGAGAACTATAGACCCTCTAAAGGGTGTCAAAAGATGCACCCCTGGCTGACGATATAACAATCAAAAGATCAGCTCGGAAAACACTATAAATAAACCCCCTGAAAAGTCTCAATGGGTGCGCTTCTGTCTAACACTATAAAAATCTGGAGATCAGCTCGTGAACACTATAAATAAACATAACACTTCTGTCGCGAGTGCAACGCATTTCGTTGAACAATGATTTGCCGATAAATCGGCAAATCCGGCTGGTGCTCAGCTCAAGACAAGAAGAAACATGTCGTCTTGTTGATAGGCATTAGGAAACCCCTCCTGACATACTTACGTTGACGGTCGTGTAGTCGGTTGACGTTCTCGCTCTGTAACAAAACAATATCGTTAGAAAACAGCATAGAGACCAAGATGCATAGAAGTATGCCAAGTATGGTTGAAAATGTCGACAAAATGACGAACCGATAGATGACGCTGAAAAAACGTGAAATTTTGAAGCTAATTTACAAACATTCCTCATGAGGGTCTAATGTTAATTGATCGTTTTAAAATCCATATTTGAGGAAACCGAATCATCAATCTGAGATATTTTTATGACTATCTATTGGTCAACATTCATGATAAGCAGAAAACGCCCTTTACACAAGTTACATCAATTCGTATTGTGCTTTTCTCCACTGGCCACTACCAGATCACTGGAACTATTCGAGTATTGCCTCTTCTTCATTTCTTATTACTTTCTACTGCTTCCTGCTTCTATTCTACAATATAACCTATACATATATATTCTTTCATGAATATCTACAAGCTTATTGTCCCCATTTATTTTTGGGCTTTCAAGTATTATAATATGTGTTCTTTCATGAGATGATTTGGCATCTTTACTATAGTATTTCTTTGCAACAAATCTCATGTTTTATTTTTGGATGTATGACAATTTGATATTCATCATACAGGACGTGGACAAATTCTGAATTGTAAAAACCTAATAACGAATCTGTGATTGAAGGTCTATGAAAATAACAAATTTTCATCGTTCAAGTTTGAACCCCTTGATTGGGTATCATCATGTTCGCTTCCTGAGCCTCGTCCTGAGCACACTGCTATGAGAATTCTGTAATTGGCATCTTCCTGAGGCTATTGCTAATTGCTTTTCCAGATATTTGTGGTTCACCTATGGATGGTTCTGAACTCAATTTATACAAAACCACATAGGATTCAAGTTTTCAGAAAACTAATGCAGAGGCTTTTTAATTGTAAAATTCTCAGATATAAAGTGCTCTACAAACATGAGTGCCAAATACTCAATTTTCAGCAACTCAGCAGGACGCGAGGCAGGACATTTTCACATGATCCTGCTCAATCAACAAATTGTATATTATCATTAAATGTCCTATAACACCTACGGAAATCTTTGAGAAACTCAAGTCGTATAAAATTTAATTCACTATTAGTATTCGTGAAAATATTTCAAATCAGTCAAATTGGAAACTTATCCCATATTGCAATAGTATAATGACTTCCAGAATGATAATTGCATTTTTGATTAGATTTGCATAATTATTTCTTAATTTTTTGTTCAATAAATTTCGTTAGGAGATACTTTCTCTCGATGAAACAAAAATGAATGTTGAAGGACGTCAACAATACTATTTATTTAACAGATAACTTTCTATGTAGAAGGAATCGCCGATGTGTTTGTTAAACACGATAAGCCGGCAGGTGAGAAAGAAACTTGTTTAGCAAATGAGATAATTCGAAACCGTTCATTTATTACTTGCCTACCTGGAAAGTCTATAAAGGAGTATAAAATAACCGTCAAAGAAGTGTATTATGCAGTCCCACAGGTATATAAAATTAATATGATAGTTTAAAATCTCGTTTAAATACAATCCAAACAATCATGTTTACCATGTGATATAAAAAGCAACGTTGAAGATGGAATTCGGAATTATATTTTTTTTTCGTCAGGTGATGGTAAAAAGGAACCAGATTGTTCTACTGGATCATGGAATGATGGAAGTCTACGACCAGGGGATATTAGAAAATCGAAGCAAATGAAAATCCGACCATCAGGAAGCAATAACATACCACCCCAGGTTATGACACCACACAGGTAATCCAAAATAATCATTTCAAGATAAGAACTCTCTTCATTCCAAACAATTTTTTTTTGCAATTTTATACCTCGTTAGTCCCAGCACTGGGACCAAACGCCCCATAAGTCGAAACTTGTGCGGGGTTAGATATACATACAAACACAAACATCCATGGCCTGACTAGGATTCGAACCTAGGTCTCGGTGGGAGTCCCCATACGAACTCAGCGCCTTAACGTTCTCGACCACCGAGCCGCCAGTGCCAATCTTTATGATAACTTTTCCAAAAAAAAAAAAAAGCCTTAAAAAAGAATGGAAGTTGTTTGCCCTATACATACCCAGCAAACAAAGTTACATCACAGAGATATCGCAGCGATGTAACAATTGTGTCCTGCGATATCGCATTCTACGTCACAAAGACATCGCTGCGATGTCAGAAGGATGTTATTTTTTCCCACTCAAGTTTCATCCATGGGACGTCGCTGCGATGAAACTACGATGTGATGCGAGACGGAAAAAAGTTTCTTCAAACATGGTATGATAATAGGTACACCACTGATTTCTGGTGACATCTAATATTGATTATGTGTTGTTATTGTGTTTTCAGCTTTGTTGAGTTACGTATATTCATGTATTGTTTTTCATCGAACATGTATCTAAATAACAAATTTTTTCAAAATTCTCGCAGATGAGTTTGCTTCTCACATTTGTGATATCTCAGAGATGTTATGTCGCAGATGTGTTAGCTTCTGAACATCGTAGCGATGGAACATTCGTAATATCGCAGTGTTGCCCCATCGCGACATCTATGAGATGTCATGTCGCAGATATGTTTGCTTTTGAACATCGCGGCGATGGAACGTTTGTGATATCGCACTGTTACCTAAACGCGATATTTCAGAGATGTCATGTCACAGATGTGTTGGCTGGGTAGGAGTATTTTTGAAGACCCTTCCAGGAAAACTGGGGTGGTGAAAAGCCATATAGGCTGCTTCTAGTCTATATACTTTCAGTGCTTAGTAGCTATAACCATACCTGGTCTCACATTCTAAGCAACATCGGTGAGGTCAATATCAAAATCAAAATAATTTGTCGGATAGCCCTGAAGGCTAAGACCTGTTTTTTTCGAAAATTTTCTGAAAAAAATAATGTGGGCGAAGTAAACAAATAGAAAAGCTCAACGAAAAGAAGAAGTATATCTATCAGTTCTACTAACTTTGTCCTCACGTCTCAGTAGCGCGATCTAATGGTCTATTAAAAATATGTTAGCCATGTTCAGTTCAATTTGATCAACTTATCATTATCATTCAAATGCAATAAAAAAATATCTATCTTATCTAAAATGTTTCATAATATACTTTTCGATATTTGATCAACTAATCAGCTATGCAAATTCTATTCGGGAATTTAGTTGTTTTTGTACAACAGAAACACGTGCGGTAGGTTTTTGACTCGGTCAACACCAATGAAAATATAATTCACAATATCTCAAACCCATCGTATAAAAACGAAACTAACTAGAACTGATAACTTTTCCTTTCAGCAGCCTGGAGCGGCGAACGAGACGAATCCAAAAAAATTCGAAATGCGTTTTTGCGCCAAATGCTATATCGAGTTACTGGCTGCTTTCATGTACTCCGTGTCTTGAGACCACCTGTTAGATACCAACACCTGCTGGGCCAGGTGATTCAGCAGGACAAAGTAATAGAGTCTCAACGGAAAAAGTCGCGTACCTACCTCTCTCTGTATACGTTCTACTGGGAAACGAACGACCGCCCGTGTCACCAGAAGAAGACAAACATCCTCAAGTCAGCTGGCATCGGAGACAAACAAGGTATAACTGTCGACAACCATTTTTTTCATTATTATTTAGGCCACTCGTTACGCTTTTTACATTTTTTGAAGTCCCCGAAAAAATAACTGACGTTTTATATTTTTCCGAACTTTTCTCGCTATTATATTCCGCTTGTTTTCGAGCATCAATAGAATCGATCGTTTTCACAGTGCATCCTGTATTACAGATACGTCAATAGGCTACTCTGATATTGTATTTTTCACATTCAACAATAACAGTTTGTTAAGAACGTCAACAGATTTTGCATACCATTTAAATGTGTTTTTGCTTTGATTAGTCGCACTGAGAAGATAATCCACCACCATGTAAAATGTTGAAGCCAAATTTGGGCGGCGCAAGCGAAAAATATGGCGTATTTGTTAATACTCTCGGAATCTGCTCGAGTCATCAATCTGCAAGTTGCTGAACTATCTAGTAATATCCTTCTTTCTGAAGCAGGAAAATCACTAACTTTGATATTTTGTAGGCTTTTGAATAATAAAAATATTTTAATCCGGTCCTATAATGCAACATTTTACTTGCATAAGAACATCTAAAAATAAATTTCAAATTAAATCTGCATTACCGATCTCTACCCTTCGCTACTCAACAAAAAGTATTTCACCTTGCCGCTCATAGATACCGCCACCCACTGAAAAGAATTTCTGGCTTAATTGCTCTAATAAGAGTGGTTCATTGCAAATTATAAGGAAATGGCCGGAAATGCGTTGTCCATAGTTGATAAAAACTACGGCCTGAAGACGATGCCGAGAACGATGCTATTCTGCCAACCGATATCGATGTTGATGACGTCAATTGTTAATTGCCCGTTGCCAAGTCATCGAAATATCCCTAGTATCCCTTCGATTTTTAGGGTGATATAATATGGGATAAAATTGATGCGACAACATCAGGAAACAATATACATTCAATGGATGTTGGATGCCCTAGGTATATATAAAAAAAAACATGGCAAGATATATTTCCTAATTAAAATGGAATATTTCCTTATTTTTTTCGATTTTTGATGAAAACTATGTATAAATATCATTTGATGCAATCATTCGTTATTTAAAATCATCGCAAACATTTTTTTTGAGAATGAAATTTGGCACCTTCGAAAAACGCCAGCTTCGATGACTTCATGAATCGAACCGAAAGTCATCGTTATCTGAAATGTGGCTTTCGCTTAAAAAGTGGGGCCACATATTTCGACGCTGCCAGATTTGTTACTAGTAATCACCTTATGAGATTCATTATGACCAATGACAATAGTATTCACTTTCACAGACAATAAACAATAGTTCGACCTGGTTCCTAACAATCACTAATTGAATACTTATATACTAGCAAGATGCTTCACCAATAAAAATATCCTAGTATTCCTAATAATGATCGGAATTTCAATTAAATCCAGATTATTTTGTGGCAGGAATACAAGACATCTTGTCATGATGCGAATATTCAAAGATATTGCTTTTATTATCTGATTCTTCCGTTGTGTGACAATCAGAAACACCCTTGCATTTGTCTTACATAAATAGATAATAGATACGTATGTCGAATGTTTTCGGATGATTACGTCACGCGTTTTTCATGTTATGAAATATATCGTGAAACAGAGCTCTGGCGAAAAAGCGGTATGCGATAGTGAACTAGTTAGGGTTAGTACTTCCGTACTTCGAAATAATGAAATAAAATTTGTCACTGAAACAGGCCCATTTCTGTTATTTCCAGATATATTATACTTTGATATCTGGCAACTGTGTGTTTCAGTCACTCTGCCGTGATGTCAGTAGTTATGGGCTATATTCCGAATTCAACTGGTCAGTACTGTCAGTAGATCCACTGAATCTGCTGAAAATCTGTGTTCCAAAATATAAAATCAAAAATACAGTGCTGTAATTCGGGACACGTTTTCATGATTTTCATCAGTAGTCAGCAGCAGTTGATCAGCTGGTGAAATTTGTCAGTCTGTAGTTTCTCGTTTATCTGGAATAGATATTTAATATTTAACATGGAAGAGCAATCGATTCTTGTAGTCTCCATAGTTTCTAAGATCATTGACTATGACGATTTAAGCTCGAGTGATGAAGAGAATACTTGGACATTTTGTTGCCATATATTTTTCATGATGCACCAGATTGAGAATTGAAAGATGCATGGAAAACGTAATGATGATGAATTTAGGAGACATCCCAGGTTTATTTAGTAATTTATTTAGCCAATGCTACTTCTTGTTTCGATACCTCTACTACTTCATACTCCATATTATTCTCAGCTTATTATTTAAATAACAGCTATTTTCTGATATTGAAAATAATATCATTAACAACGGAAATAAATGTTACATTCCATGTGCATTCCATCCCCCTCTGAAATAATGACAGTTCACTGAAGCCACACTACCTTTTGATACTCAGCAATTTCAGCAGAATGTTGAGTCGAAATATTTGGAATGGATAGTATGTCTCCTCACGAGCACCTGTCACTTTCAGTGAATTTTTTGATTACGGAATGAAAAATTAGCAGATTCAGTACTGTCAGTTGAATTCGGAATATAGCCATGAATGGCAAATTTCACGTTCCAATGAGACTGTGACTTCATATTTGTGATCTTGAGAAGAACACTTTTGAAAAATAATAAAATCATCCGAAATAATGAAAGGTATAATTATTCCATATTTTTGAACCATTTTATGACCCATCAATATCGGTGTCAACATATTTTATGTGTGGTCTAATAGACATTTGACACAGATTGTAAACATCGACAGATCGACACAGTTCAAATGCACGGAACATTACAATAAGACAAAGCAACATTTCGAAATGTTACATAAAATCTAAGGAACAATACCTATTACACGATTTTTTGCAATAAAATATAATTTATCGACAGGGTATAATTACGTTATCATCGTATAAATTCACTTTCTCTTTTACAAGCTTTCCTCGACGAATTAATAAAGAATCCTACCATGTTGTCAACTACTCCATCGCAATAATACAGGTAGGTATAGTACTGGGTATAATAGGTAGGTAGGAAAAAGCATATCTAATGTCAGCAAGAAACCTCGACCTCGACTAGAACCAACCACCTCCCGATTTCCGGTAGAACTTACTAGAATTATTTTGTGGCATTGTACCGTACTCACACCGTAATCCATGAGTCCATGAGGTAACCAACTACCTGAAATAATTGGTGCGCCGTTGCCCACAATCGCGTTTAATTTGAACATTACAAGCGCAGAACATAAACAAAATAGTTTGAATGTGTCTCTTTGACTCGCGGGGACCCTTGAAAGAGTTTATTAACCTCTTGTTTGTTGAAAATCCCGTGTGATACTGATGGCTCTCTAGGTCGAGATTTATCATAATATTTGGGTTGAGATCCAACAGATTCTTATTTATTATACTGTATACTTATGATTTCGAATGTATGATTTATTGGTCATATTTTAACTTCAAATTTATTGGCCAATGAGAATGAGAAGGATACTTTTTTTTTTCATGACCTAACTGTAATAAAAAAAAAACGGTGAGTACAATAAAGTCGAAGATCATAAATAGTTACCTACTCCCAAAAGAGGTACCAACACCGAGTATTCGTACTGTCTGTAGTAGATAATTCGGCAGACATTCGAAAATGTTGGTATTATTTCAATGATTTTTATGCAGATTGTTGACAGATTCGTCAAATCGATAAAACGTCAAAAATAAAATGTGTTATTCAATTCCTACATTCCACAAACAACCTTCAATGGACCTTGGATAACGATTTTCCATTTCATTTCTTTCACGACTTTCTCCTGTGCTCTATAATGTTATAATCAAACAGTTATAGATGGAATCACTTTCATTTACCGTTAGTGATTGTGTGGTCTGGTCGAATCTAGGTTTCTGCACGTTCAATGTTCCGTGAGAAATGTCAAAAATAGTTTACTCAGATATTTGAAGATGGTCCACATAATAATACAACTCAATTATGCCCCTGACCTGAAATAGTAAAATCATAATAAAAAAAATGAACAAATCTATCGCTCTCAAAAGCAACCAGAGCAACCGTCTTTGGCAATGCAATATTTCCATCACTATAATACTGCAATGTGATTTCGAATTATCATCAAAGAAAATATCGCACTCTGAAGTCTGAATCATATGTAATAACATCTGTTCCTGATTCACTCACCTACTAGGTCGATACAAAACAATATGTATAAATGTTTCTGGCAATCACAATAATATTTTACCTATCTTTATGATAAAAAGAAACTAAAATTACATTGTAAACAGTAACAATTACAGCTATGCGTCCAGAGATAAACAAGCACGTTATAGGTTGGTATATCCTGTAATTTAAAATTTTTGTCCACACTCTTACAACTCATTACTATGAATTCAACAAGTGATATTATATGATTCATACCTATTATAGCATTTTTAGTAATGTAACCTACTACGTTTCCGAGGAATCATAATAGATAATTGCGTCGCAGGTTAAAATGTCACTACTTCCGTGTCCGTGAACACAATCATAATACGTTGATAAGATACCAAAATAAAAATTGACGGCTGACATCGACCATCTTGTTATGACAGCAAACTGAGCAAACACCGAAACAAAACAAGCGGGAAAACGGATCGGTCCATAGATACGGATACGGGTAACACAGTGGGCCATGTCAAAACAAACGCCATGTGCCCGCGCTATGGAATAGTTCTCGAATCGCACGTACGCAGCGCCATGGTGGTGGCGCTTTCGAAAACTAGTCACCTATAGTCTAGGGAGAGCACCATATGAGGAATCGACGTAAAAATATCCTTGACCAAAAACGAAATGTCTCAAAAGCGCGTAACATCGGAGAATATAGAAAGATCCGCATAGAAACAACAATCGAAAAAATTAGAGCATATATAGACTAATGGAGAGAGTGAATTGTGAAATCAAGATGAATTGTCTGTGCAGTAGGTACATTTGTGATTAAAATGCCCTGTGACCTGCCACATGCCACAAGTATCATATCTTGTCTCTGTCAACTCCTGCTAATTTGGATAAAAAAATTCAAAAGTTCTTATATAAAGTGCCGTGTATTGTATTATTGTCGTTGATAAAATTCTTGGATGAGCAGAACAAAATCAACTCTAGAAGAATCCAGCGCCCCAAAAAGTTGATAATATATTACGAAAATTTGAAGTTTAGCTATAGATACTTGAAAATGAAGTTTTCGTAAATTATCATAAGTAGGTAGGAGTGACACAGAGACTGACAGATAGTGTGACCTTAATATTAATAATATGCGATGAAGTTTTCGTAAATTATCATAAGTAGGTAGGAGTTACACTTAATATTAATAATATGCGATGAGGTTTTCATAATATGATTGTAGGCAAATATGAGTAATACAATCAGTCTTCAGCTCTGGATGACATTGTATGAAACAAATACCGATCGTTCTTTCTTTCCTGCCAGGGTTCGGGAAAATTCGCTTCCTCGGATGGCGTTCGCCCTAGTCTCTAGTTTTTCGATATATCGGGGCATGTGTCAACAACCCGCGAACAGCGGAAGGCGAGGTAACTAATCGAAAACAAAGGAAAGCGGACGATACGAGACGATAGAGGCATAGAAGGTACCGTAGAGTCCGTAGAGCGACGGAAAACGGTTCGGCACGGAACACGAAACGCGCTATCTTGCCGCGCTCTAGCCTACACTGTTGCCAAGTTGCCGAACCTGACGTCGTTGAAGAATATTCGAGAAGTACCCATCAAATAGCTGACTTTAGGGAAAATAGCCACTAATTCTTCAAAGGAAAAGGATCCTGTTTCACTAAGTATGCGTAAGAGATTGTCAAAGAACCGATGATTCGATTGAGCCCGTTGAAAATCAAGAGGATTGTGTGGACACATTTTTGACAAGAATGGGATTAAGCTTTCATGGTGTATTTCCGGTTTAGTACATTGCGTCAGAGGGTTCTACTAAGGAAAAACTGGTCATGAGTTATACTTGCATTGCATCTTTTATTTGTGCGAGAATGATAAAGCATTGACATTGACATTATGATGATAAACTAAAAGGAGTATTTTCAAGAATGACTGAACCATTGAATCATTCCATTTGAACGAACGAATTGGTTCAAGAAAGATACAAATGTCTAAGGAATAAGTGAAGTAGTTTTAAATCTCGATAAACATGAATAATGATTTCCATCAGAAAATACTGGGATTCAATGAAATCAGCCAACCAGCAATAGTAAAGTGATACCTGTCATCATTAATAATATTAAAGGAACAGTAGAAATAGCAGGAAGAATGTCTAAAAATTGATCGATTTTAGGAAGCAAGCTGGTGATAATACCATCATCATTTTCAGGATGGTCACAACTGTTGGCAGAACATCCAGTTGCATTGACATCTCACACTTCAATGAGTTTGAATGACAGCTCTTGACACTCCAGCTTACAGTATTTTGATGTCCTACTGTGTAAATGTTCTGTTCAAGGTTGAAACTTCGAACTGTTTGGAAGTCGAAGTCGTTTTAGGATCAAATTCTTTCTCCTAATTGTTATTTCCTTTTGATGACTTTCCTAATGTGTCGTTGTGATCAAATCGTTCGCGTGCCGCCCTAAGGATTTTGTCGCCTGTTGCTATAGTACCAAAACAACCCTGAACAAACCGGCACTGAATGGCAGTTCCCCGAAAAATAACCGGTGCCTATACATTTATAATTTGGCCGGTCTCATGGTAGGCGGCACACGTGACGCGAGTTTGCCGATTTACTTCAATCCCAGAAAGATATCATTTCAAAAAGTGTCAATTTCTGCGACAAATCGCCCATACCTGGCAACGCAGCTCTCAACGATGCCGGGTACTCTCCGCCGCTTGCGCACTATCCCTTTGCGCACCCATGTGTTCGGTCCCGTCACACAAAGAACGGCACGTAAACACAACGAAACCGAATTAACCAAAATAGCGATTTGGAGGCACTCACGACAACCATCCCGCCGACACACACGTTCAATGTCATCGACACATCACAACGAGATAATCACGATACATCATTACATCACAGTAAGTCAAGTAGGCTGGGGAATCTCTTCGAGAGTCTTCGATATAAACGCGTCTATTTTGAAGGCACTATGCGAACTGCAATCGGGTCGCAGTGTGCCATGCATTCGGTTGCATAGTACCGCTTCTTCGCCCTTCCTCGCCTCTTATTGGTTCGCCTCACGGCATCTCACCCCTGAATATCGGGGTGGATTGACGACGACGACGACGAGTTTGACGGCAGACGAAATGGAGCGGCACGCGCCTTATAGCGTATAGCGCGGGATAATCATGCCGAGGGTTAGGGGGAAGGATTTTCGGTAATTTAATGCCTTTATTTGATTGCGCGGTAATTTAGAGTAAACTACTCTCCAGTTGAAACTTTACACAGTCTTATTTCGGTTAATTTCAACTAAATTAAAAATAGAAGCTTCATCTCCGATATTCTTATATCATTGATAGACTAGTTTTACCTTTACTTAATGGTTGGAGGCCTGTGGATGTCAAAAAAAACATCAAGATCATATATATCAAGAATCTAGAACCCGTAACAAGAAACTATGTCAGCCCTGGCAACTAGATACCACAAGGGTCAGTTTTGGGCCGATTTCTTTTTTAATTTAAATCAACTCGGATTCTACTTCGGAATTGAATGATAATATCTCAAAGATGTTGAATTCACATAAGAAATAACTGTTGGCATAAACTTTGTTCTTCAATGTGACATAGACCACATTAATAATAACCGTACTTGGTTCTTGAACCTCAAAGTATGGGAAACAGCCATATAATGAATAATTCAACCAAGTTCGTGACTGTTCCAAATGGACATAGTTTTTTCTTAATGTTTGACTTCTTTATTTTTTGACATGCATACAGATATTCTGCTGAAATGGTTTCGCCTTTCCTCTCGTATAGTAGTGTTTGATCATATGATTCATTTACAATAGGTGGATGTTTTCAAAGTTCTTATTAAGCAACTTCGCGCTAGAAAAAATTGAAGCTGCAAGTGGAAGAAGGAGTTATGTTACAAATACGAGTTTGTGAAAAATAGGTTTTAGTAAAGTTATCTTGCATTTTTTAATGAAAGCTAGTTTTAATATTTTGATTTATATTGTGAGGAATAGTTTCAGGTTGTTTTCTTATGATTTACCGCATTTTGCTATCATATCATTTTTTGATATACATCAAGGCAAGGCAAGTTACAATTATGCACGTAACACCTTCTTCCATGACATAACCGAATATTTTCAGAAAATGTTACTTGACCCCTCTCTCCACTTGACTCTTCAATTATGAATTCGATCTATTATGAATAATATTATCGAATATCTTATATGTGCAATAAAATTCCGGAACCTCTATGAAAGAACCGACAATCAATTCTTCTAATGGCCCTGCAACGTAACATTCACAATTCGATAATTCATGAAAAATTCGTAAAGATTTTAGTGCCCTGGAAAGTCAAGAATTCATTCGAAAAACATACCTTGCAAAGATGAGAGAAAAGTACAAATAATTACTGTCAATCAATTTATTCAATTCGTTGACTGAGTTTTATTGGCATACATTTTTGTAGTCTCATTTTATTTGACATAAGATGATGAGTTGTTGTATTCTGATAGTTCTCATTTAAGAACAACAAGTTTGCAGACAACCAATTCTTGAGAGTTGAATTATTCCCCCCTCAAAACTTCTGCTATACTTCATCATCGAATATCGAAGTATAGCTCATAGTAGTGGAATCTATATTTCAAACATCATTGATCTTTGGTAAAAGTCCATATTGCTAAAAGTGGAGTGAAATTTTTCGGCCCCAGAACCAACCCGTGGAGGATACCTATAGTGACGAGACTAAGGATAAGCAATCGCAAATTTTGACACAATATGATGAGTTGTTGTTTTCTCATAGTTACAAGAGATAACAAGAGGTTTGCAGACAACCAATTTTCAGAGTTTGATAATGCCTCACTTGAAACTTCTGCTACTTCATCATCAAATTCTGAAGAATAGCTAATAGTGGTAGAATCTATAAAACAAAGGTCATTGATGTATATCAAACGATAGAAGTGGCCCCAGAACGGACCCGTGAGAGATACCTATAGTGACAAGCAATCGCAAATCCAGCAACAATTACTAAGATCTAGCGAAATTTGAAGGTGTAAAGTTTCAATAGGAGAGTAGTTTATTATCCAGTATAGGTGCGTGTTTTGTGGCCTGACTGTTATACGATATCGCGGCAGTTTTATTATTATTTATGAATGCATTCGTGGATGGTTCCAATCAGGAGTTGATCTCGGGAGCTTTGTCGTGCTTATGAATAATATGCTTGGTAGCAGGAAACATCGTGTATTTTCACCGTAAGAAATAGCGCAATAACATTAAAGCAGAAAATTACCTAAATTGACTACCCACTTAACATCGAGACTTTATCTACAGAATCAACGATTCACGGATCTAAAATAATACAACTTCAGCATGGAAAAACGCTTAATGTGTAAATTCGAAGTCGATATTGTTTCTTCGATAATTAAATTCGGAATTGATAACTAAATGGAGAATCGATAGTGAATGGGAAAGAACTGACAGCAAATTCGCTGGTCGAAACAAAATGTTTGAATATTTTCCAGCAGCCACCTTGAACATTTATTATGAAATGATCCTTTCATATTATACAAGCTGTTACAAATTCGAGCTTATGCAAATATAGTGACCTCGGAATCCGTTATACAGATACCCACAAGAAGAGTTTGAATTATGGTAAAAATGCATAAAGCCTGGAGAAATGTTGCTTGGAAAATAATAATTGAAAACGATTTAGTATGCAGATTCGACAACAATCAGCTCATTAGACCTTTCTACATAATTACCACCAGCACTTTCCATGCAAACTAGCAAAACTAGCATATGGTGATAGTTTGTTATCTTTCTTGTTTAAATATCACTTATGTAGGTACTATCTTACTGAAATAACGTGAATTCGACGAATACTCACTTTTTATTACAGATGGTGCCGGAGGAATTTCAGTCAACTGAAACAAAAAATAAATAATAAATATGATTGTACTACCTTGTTAGCATCAAAAATTCATGAATTAATTTAAAAAAGCATATTAATAAAAAACATGATAACAATATTGTCATGAGAACATGACATATTATATGTGATGCTGAAGTTGTTTTTTATGAAAAGATTCCTGCTGGAAGCCTAATTGATTCAAATATCCGGCTCGAAGGACCAATGGTATGTACTATGTACTGTATAAGAGTTTTATTAAAGTTGCGGATATTGCTGAAAAGATTCATTCATTTTACAGACTTGTACTAGGTGGCTTGAATTCGAGCCTCATAATTGGGATTTCGTAAACCGTAAGAGATACAGGGTCGGTTAAATTAAGGCAAAGTTGCAAAATTGTATGACTAGCCAAATACCGTGTTAAAATTTGAAAAATTCCGAATAATTCCAAAGAGTTTTAGAAAAAACCGAATATTCGAGAATACATTTTCATATTTCTATTTCTCTATTTAAATAAATGTAATCAAACAAATTAAAAATTGCTACTTTTTCTGTTGTACAAGATGCTGGAGATTGAAAGCTCCTAAAACCCATAATGAAAAATCCAGGTTGGTAATCAAAAAAACAAAGTTGATGATGTCAGCACAAAGGAGGATCGTCGATTTGAAAATTTGATAGGAATAGAAGCAATGAGAATGTGTAATTTGGTTTGTTGAATCTATTCAAATAGAGTCATAAAAAAATTGTTATTGTATAAAAATAAAATCGCGAATAATCAGTTTTTTTTTCAAAAATCTTTGGAACTATTCGGAATTTTTCAAATTTCAAAAATTTATAAAATTGCGCAACTTCGCCATAAGTTAACCGACCTTATGTCTCTACGGTTTACAAGATCCCTTTGATAATCAATTCCAAATATTTCGACTCAACATTTTGTTGAAATTGCTAAATATCGAAAGGTAGTGTGGCTTCAGTAAACTGTCACTAATTTATAGGGAAAAGGAATGTCACATCAATTTCCGTTGTTTTTCAAATATTGAATCTTGTCTTCTCAATAATAAAACAATAATATCATTTTTAATATCAGAAAATGCCTGTCATCAAAATAATTGACGCTGAGAATAATATTCAAATTCCACCAGTTGATCAACTGCTGCTGATTACTGATGAAAACCATGATAACTTGTTCCGAATTACAGCACTGTATTTTTGATTTTATATTTATTTCGAACACACAGATTTTCAGCAGAGTCAGTGGATCTACTAACAGTACTGACCAGTTGAATTCGGAATATAGCCAAAGAGGGTTGTATAGTAGAATACAAGAGGGTTCTCTAAAACACTTAGATAAACATGATGTAGTAGGGTACCACTACTATATCTGACTCGAAAGTGCATCTTTGTTCTTGTTTACAATACAAATAATTATTATGAATGTCCACATCAAAGACTAGGACCTACACCACTTTGTCCGTATGTTGATATAAACACGTACTTTATATATAAATTTTCAATTGTAACGACTGGATAAAGTTTAAAACAGGAGCCAAGAATTTCAAGGCTATCTGCACCTCGGTTGTCAAGTAAAACCTGACCTTCCGATAAATATAACAAAATGTTTTATCAAGCAGGACGATACTAAGAAATCTAGTAATTCCAATATGGCTAATTTAACACGTTCAACATTTTATTGTTGCTGCATAGAACGCAATTAGAAAATTGTGTGGGTTATGCTATCAAGGTCGCGAAGTTTTTATACCTATTCAATTGAAGAACATGCCAGACACGTGGGAAATCGTCGGATACATCATCAGTGGATGATTGGAATACAGATATAACGAACTTTAGGCCGTGTTTCAACATAAAAATAAAATATAAGTCGAGATATAAATAAACCATAAACATGATGGGACAGGGACACCTCGCTGGATGAGTATAGGAACAATTTTTGTTATTTGGATAACAGGAATAAGCTTTAGATTTTTCGACATCAATTTTTGAATCACCCAGTACGGAATATCCTAATTCTTCATGTTCATATATAAGTAAATAAAAGTTGGGCAAATCCATTTAAGGTTAATTTATTATATTACTAGCTGTCCGGCCCCCGGCTTCGCACGGTTGGTGTACCCATTGAAAAAATAATACATTTGTTGCAGTCGTTCTGCGCGTATCTACAGTACATATTTTGTTTGTTATTTTATTTTTAATTTGTTGTGCTTACATATAGCTACGAGTATAGCTACTATTATATACTTGAAGCTATTTTCGTTATTTCAGTATCTTTTGTATTTGTTTTGTTGTTTTACGTGTTGAAAATTTCAACCGAATCGGTCAAGCCGTTTAGTAGTTGAAGTACCGACAGCAGCGCCACCTACCACGTCCAATTGTATTTTTAAAACATCCATTAGTTTCGCTATCTATAAAAACGTGTTTCTTTAGTTTTTCAAACTACCATATATTTCAACTTTTTTTTAGTTCACTTGAATTTCCCAATTTCGACAAAAGAATAATAATATCCGACTCCTAAAACCGCAGATGAAAATTTTGAATAGATCACAAAACTCGTCCGCAATATTGAAACTACCATCTTGAATTCCCTAATTTTGACAAAGGAATCATAATTTTTGATCCAGAAAACGCCCACTTACAAATTTTGAATAGAATCGGTATATAATTACCAAACTTGTCCCGGTATATTGGGTCCGACATCTTGAATATCCTAATTTTGGCGAAAGACTCATAATCTCCGACCCCGAGAACCACCAGATACCAAAATTGAATAAAATCGGATCCTAATTACAAACTCCGCCATTTTGGATCCGCCATCTTGAATTTCTCAATTTTGATGGAGGAATCGGATTATAATTATAAAACTCGTCCACCATATTGGTTCCGCCATCTTGAATTTTCAAATGCCGCCCGAATTTTCAAATTTTGACGAAAGAATCATAATCTCCGACACCGAAAACCCCCAGATACTGATTTTGAATAGAATCGGACCATAATTACAAAACTCGCCCTATATATTAGATCCGCCATATTGAATTTCGGAGCCTATTCAATACATACAAATAATCAAACAAACAAACAAACAATCAAATCTTTCCTCTTTATAATATTAGTATAGAAGTATGATCAAAAGTACCTATTTACCTTGGCAAGACCTGCATTGAACATGTATTTGTGATCTAGATCAATCCTGGGTGTAGCAGCAATAGCCGAGATAGGTTGTGTCGGATTAATCATTTCCTGAAATAAAACAAAGACAGCATAAATACAAAATATGTACTGGATCAATAAATCACACAGCTTTGGACAAATCATTTATTGCCGTTATCGAATGGAATATGCTCATCAATTCATCACATGATCGTTACGATGTAGAGGGTGTTTCAAAACTATGTATTAAGATTTCAGGAACTTATTTTTTAGGTCAAAATAAGTCAAGGTTCGTTAAGTTTATCATTCTTATTCAGGTTATGTTTGAAAACTTGTAGTTAAGATAAAAAACTGAATATGAATCGTTCTTGTTTTCAATGTGATAACATGTTTTTTCTACAAGCGTGCGTGTTTCACCCTATACCCGCACGCAATTTAGTTTGGGAAGTGTCATTTTCCCGCAACAGTGCGGGAAAATTTTCCCACACTAGTGCGGGAAATGTTTTCCCGCACTAGTGCGGGAAAACAAAGGTATGATAAAATCACTAGTAATGTAAGTGGTTGGTGATGGAATATAAAAGTTCAAGTTTGTTTGTTGCAGTATTAAGTATGTATGTTCAGAATCATCCATCAAATTGCACTATTCATTGTAAAAATTAAGAAATATTGAGAAATAAATATTGATTATTATAAAAATCCCCCTATAGATTTGGATTGATCTGACGGGAAACGTCAATTTGTCATGCCAATCAAACCTCAAATAAGTTTGAAATTGTCGAAGTGACAGACACAGCGTTACTGTCATTTTCGATTCAGTGGAAATGCCACAATGTGATCAAAAACTTCTAACTATAGGGAATCACCAACGAAGTCTTAAGATAGACAGATATAGAAAGATGTGTTTCCACTTTCAACGTATCACATCAATCTTTCCGACGTTGTTTCATTATCAAATTCACGTCAAGGTTTTAAGAGATACTGAACCGGAATTTCGGAACACCCTATATATTCTACATATCGGCTATCACAGATATTGAAATATATTGTGTTTCCACTTTCAACGTATCACATCAATCTTTCCGACGTTGTTTCATTATCAAATTCACGTCAAGGTTTTAAGAGATACTGAACCGGAATTTCGGAACACCCTGTATATTCTACATATCGGCTATCACAGATATTGAAATATATTGTGTTTCCACTTTCAACGTATCACATCAATCTATCCGACGATGTTTCATTATTGAATTCACGTCAAGGTAGATAGAGAGAAGAGATACTGAACCGATAAACGAGCTCGCTTTAATAATAGACCAGGAACTGGTGACAGCTGACGTTCTCCCATTTTACACTGCATGTCTTCTTAAGGATTTATAATTAACCCCAAATTATGAACAATCGACGGGTTCCTGGCCGCCGCACGTGTGCACTTCATATGAAAAAACGCCTTTGTTTTTGTGAAGAATTTTCGTGTTTTTTCGCGATATTATACTGCCTGCCATTTAAGTGATGGCATGCAATCCGCAGCGGCCGAAAGGGCTCAAAAGGATTTCGAAAAATTCGAGTTTTCGTAACAAAAACACTCTGGGAAAATTGCCATGCGCCCCTCGTCTGACCAATGGAGGAAAAGTTAGGAAAATTTTGTAAAAATTCAATACAGGTTTCCCGAGTTTCCAACTGCATGCCATTAGAAAGAAACTTCATTTGTTTAATTAATTAATAGTAGGTAATCTGACATGCACACTTTGCAAAATAGAGGCATGCCTGACGAAAGTTGCAAAAGACACTTACTTTGGCTAGTTTGGAATCACGAAACATCCCAACGTTGGTCAGACGAGGGGTGCCAATTTTTTCATAGTGTTTTTGTTACTAAAACTTCAATTCTTTACATCGGCATGCAATTTGAAAACACGGAAGTCCCCTTTAATTTTCTTCAGCTTTTCGTAACCCTTTTGAGATCTTTTGGCCGCTGCGGATTGCATGCCATCAATTATTAGCGCTTCAATCTGTTTGAACTTTCGTATATTACAACGGCAGGCAGTATAAAAATATAAAATATAAAATTCTTCACAAAAAGAAAAACGCTGTTCCTTATGAAGTGCACACGTGCAGCGACCAGGAATCCGTCTATTGTTCTTATTTTGGGGTTAAGAATTGAGCCTTATACAGTGTTTAGTGAGAGAACGTCACCTATCACCATCTCCTGGTCTATAATACTCGATCATCTTTTATAAACAAACTCGTCCTGAGAAGGTCGGATCGTAAGTTATGAACGTGTCAATTAAAGGTAGTTTTCTATATGCGGCGAATTTCATAACGAATACAATAAGACCCACTAGCGATGTCATGAATCAGCTTAGAAGATTCAGGGTAGTGAAATACTGAACACGCCAACAAGGATACAAAATATTCGCATCCTTTACTAAGGCGGAAGACAATTTCAAAATTCGAGCGTCATCAACGGTCATCAACGAATGGTCGAATACTGGCGTACAAACAACTAGAATTCCTTGGTGATCCTTGGAATTCCCTGGAACTCCTTGGGTGAGGACAGAAGTGCGGTATAATTCAGGTCTGTAAACAACAGGAATTCCCTGGAATTCCTTGTAATTTCTTCAATTCCTTAGAATTCCTTGGATTTCCTTGAAATTCCTTGAGCTCCCTTGAAATCCCTTGAAATTCTCTGGAATTCTCTGGAATACCTTGGGAATCTCTGGAGTTCCATGGAATTCATTGGCATAATTCTGGTTTCCAAAAGTTGAAAATAATCCAATACCTACCTCCTCTCCCTATCCAAAGGCATGCACGAACATTAGGCGGATTCCCTTTCGTGCGCTCCAAATGAGATAAAAAAACCCTGGAATGCCTTGTGAAATTGAAGTTTGGTGTACACAAGTGTGACCCCGGTTTACATATCAGTCATCAATGATCTAAAATGATTTGTTTAACATAAAAAAAATTATATTCTATATTTAACACCAAAAAAATCGAAAAGCATGTCATCACAGTGTGTTGTTGTACAATGCACAAAAAATGCAGCAAGAGACGAAAGAATATGATTTTTCAGGTAAATAGTGATCTCACATCTCATTAGAATTCCTTCTGATACGATCATATCTCGTTAGCATGTACAGATCAGTCCTTCCGTTTGATTACATGAATTTCTATATACATCTCTCTTATTGCCTTATTTCAGAAACTTCAAGAGTATTTTCATTAGCTCCTATGGCAAAAAGAATTCCAATGAGAAATGACAAAATTTCAAAATGAAAACTATATGTGAGTGACTATTGTACCTACTTTCAAGTCACAATGTACCTACCTGAAAAAGCGGATTCCTTTGTTTCTCGCTGCATTTTTTGTGCATTGTACAACAGCACAATATGATGGCATGCATAAATTATTAATGAATAGCCGAAAAACACGATTCGTATCCCAAAATAATTGAAACAAGAACATTGTCAACTACTTGTGAAGATTGTCAATCATTCGATAACATTTCACATCTGAGGTTAATTATGGTTTTCTTTTATGTTTCAACTGCTTTGGACCATTGTTGTTAAGTTCATAAAACAGTTTGAGTGATCAATGGTCGGATTGAAACCACATTAAAGTTCAAAGCATTTCAGTTCACTATTGCAATTTGCAATCATTTGAATTCAGTTCGTAATTGGGTAAATGAATGGGACTTACATTGTCGCCTGTGATAGACAATATCAAATAGGTACTATTGATTATCACTGTGAATTTCATATTCCATTTGAACACTGCGGGAGCAATATGTGATAAACATTTTTCGCGAAAGCTTATCAATTTTTCTGCTCAATTTGAGTAAAATTGGAAAAAATCGAGAAAAGAAAAACATCATTAAAAATGAACGAAGGTAAACAAGATAATTTGAAAGGAAAATTATTTCGATGTAGGTTCTGCGTATGCCTTGAATCATAAAAATCATCATCCTCTATAAAATATGGCTAGCTTGTTTTCAATGGAAACATTTCAGAATGGAAAAAAATCTCCTACAACTTTGGGTCACTTTATTCGGCATTTCGATTTAACCTTCCACAAATGGATCAATGAATGAACGTTGAATTAATTTCGAAAGATGTCGGAATAAGGCTTTAGATACGGTTTTTGCCGAAATTAGATTGAAAATAATTCGTGATCAGTTTAATAATCAGTTGGACGAAAACTAGGACACAACGAAACGAGTCTTAAATATGTATCTTTATCTTTGTGCTAGTTCGGGTTACACTTGGCGAATTGCGACATATTTTGCGATCGATATGGCAGAAAAGCGTAGGTGAGTTCAGATATGAACCAGACTTCGCAGACTTCTTTATGCCTTAGAGAACTTATTCCTCGACTTATTCAGACAACCTGACATCGTATATACATTTTCTTGTTCAGAAAGTAAAGTGGGATGACACCTATTCCACAAACAACAATATTATCACAGTGTTTTCGTGTTTTTCTCTCATTTGATTTATGAAGAAAATTTATTACTCAATTTTCGTACCAACACTGTGTCTGTTTTTTATTCTACTACTTTACTCTAAAGTGCCAACACGAGTACCAACATTTTTCGAAAGAAATACTCTGCTTTAGTTTTTTTCTGTCCGTCGAAGCATAGATCGAAGTATCTGCACTTTTGTTTCAGCAGAGATCCAATTTGAATTCTCTAGTTTATTCGTTTCCATATGTACAATTCTTTCGATGGGTTGAATGAATTTATCAATTCCGAAATAACTAGATTGGGATTGCCTGATGACAGTCTTTAGATTGATGTAGCGTCCTCATCAAAATAGTATTTTCAGATGTATTTGGTACGAAATATACATTTATACAAGATTAATTATGTATCTATGTATTCTGAGTAGAGACTGACATCTGAGCTGGTGTGAATATCACTGACTCTTCGATTGCAGTCTCTTTGGAAAACAGCAAGAATATTTTTGATTTTCCAGAGCAAAATACAGCACAACAGGAATGAATAGCAGTCGAAATAAATTGTTCAAATGATGAACCATCACACTCACTGCAGCGGATAATATATTATGTCGGCGCCGTTAGATATAAATTATCATTAT